AATTTTCTTTACGAGCCCTGAAGATGCGGTGAAAGAGACCCCTAAGGAAGAATGGGCCGACTGCTTTTCTAAGTGGTTCTATCGAATGCGACGATGTGTAGAGAGGAACGAAGATTAGGTACTTCGAAAAACAATAAAAGTATTGGCAACTTTCTACATTAAGCCGTTTTTCATTTTCTAAATATTTCCAGTGTCACCCGTGTATAACAATTTTTAATTCTATACATTACGTTGTACAAAAACCAATAACATTCATTTGTTTTGTAATTCTCCTCATCTATGCCTACAATAAAAATGTAGTAAAAAGTTAAATGCTTAAGCCTAGAGCATTCCCACACAGCAGAGCAAACATTGAGATGCCATACTTGAAATTAAGCAATTATTTACCAAGCCCCTATCTACATGGCAAAGCGATGGCCATCTATGCCCAGACATTAAAACTCGAGTGGCCGAAAGCTCCCAATTAGCCGAGGACTTTGATGCCGACGGGGCAGAAATTACGAAAAAGAAATATGGTGTACTCTTGCGGAATTATTAATGCCTAGAGTGCCCTCTCGTAGCGACAATCGACTAGGGCCATACAAAGTTATATATAGATAATTTATTTATTTGATTATTCCTACAGCAACTCCGATAATAATGCTTGCCGGCTTAGACACAAATAGTCGTCGTGTGTCAGGTGCAATAATAATAATTTATTTGCAAGAATTCAATGTTATGTTGGTACAATATAATGTTCGCATATTCTGCCACACATAATGGCGTCCAAATTTGTCTTAAAAGGAATATTTACATAGAAGTTACATACATAATGAGTGATATTATTATAGTTAATTATTATATTATGTGTAGTGATAAAATATCACATTATTAAAATATCATAACGTTATCAAATTAATATTAGATTGACTTATGATCATTAGACAGATACAGAAATCTGAGGCGCACAGACTCCCCCCTTGGGGGGCGCCGCCCAAAAATTTTTTTTTTAAACTTTAAAAAAAAAAAAAAGGGGGGGGGGGGGGGGGCCCCCCCCCCCCCCCCCCCCCCCCCCCCCTTTGGGGGGGGGGGGAGGGGGGGGGCCCCCCCCGTTTTTTCCCCCCCCCCCCGGGGAAAAATTAAAAAACAAACCCTTGGGGGCCGCGGGGGGGGAACCCCACCCCCGCGGGGATGAGAGTCGCACGCTGTAGCCACTAGGTCAACAACGTCTTGTACCTAAAAATGTTGTAGCGCTGCTGATTTATTTGATTTTTAGTTCGATAATACCTACACACTACATATAAGCCAAAATACACTTTTAAACAAATATTTTTAGCCAAAAAATATTTATTAATTTCGATATTTTGATTTATTACTTATGGAATTTTATATGTAATACGCTGGCATGGTACCGAGATGTTTTATATTTACCAGAATTTCCACCATTGCAAGAATGGACTTTTATTTTTTTATATATTCTGAAAATAAATACAGCTTTTGTTAAATGTTTGTGTAGCGTTCAAATAGTAAAAGAAATTTTAATACCGGTTGAGTAGTTCTTTACAAGCAAACAAAAATAGCTTTTCTGTAATATTAGTATTTATAAATGAATATTTTCTTACAAATGTTAGGTTACAAAGAAAACGATTTTATGAATCTTTATTGTAAGTTCTTTCAAAAAGCACTAGCGGCTTCGCAAGGGGGGACATTTATTTTTTGTAGATATTGATATGTTCTTTAATATTGTGAAACATCTTTTAGTTCTATCTTCAATAGTTTTTGCAGCGCATGGCGATGAAAAATATATTATAGGCATTTTTTATACCTTGGGTAACATTATTATATATAGGGATCCTTATTTTTTCTTGCAATTAAAATAGCCTATATTTATCAGTGATAATATAGCATTCAAATGGTAAAAGAATTTTTAAATCGGTCCAGTACTTTTTGAGCCAATTCGTTACAAATCTTTCCTCTTTGTAATATTAGTATAGTATTTAGTAACTGTTTTTATTTCATTCGTGGGGTTAAAAGTATTATTTATTATTAAGAATTTGATTTAATTAACATCCTAAACTTCTACATAAAGAGAACGAAGCTTTTTAGGGAAACAATAGTGTTCTTGAGTAGATTATATCGTTTTGGGAGTACAATAGCAAAGTTGTTCCACGCCACTTCGCGTCACCCGCAAACTTCGTACCTGTCTTAAGTTATTCGCACTTTACAATGGCGTGATAAGTTTGTTTGTTCGATTATATATAGAGTAATAGGTGTTCCCTTGACAATCTAATTCTTAAAACCCCTACTTATAAAATTCTACCACTCCTCATTTGTGCAAAGTATTCTGTTTTGAAACATCTTACCCCACGATATCAGACGAGTATAAAAATTTATTTAAGAATATTTTGAGCATTTATCTTCTGTCTCGTAATTTGCAACTTATTTATTAATTATGACATATAACCCCTAAGATTAGCTTTTACATTTCTATTAATATTATTGTTTATTTTATATTATAGTTGGTATATTTTGAGTGTTACATGATTTTTGTCATTTATTTATGCACTTCTTGTAATTAATACTAAACTTATTAATAGGTGTTGTTTTTAAATATAACCATACTGGAGAAGAAATCGCTTTTTAGCGATTAGACCCGTTGCCTAACAACTTATGTTACCTATTTATTTTATATGTATATTTAATTTTAAGGTAACGAATTATAAATAAATAATAAACAGAGATGCGAATTATATTTAGCAAATCTTTAGTTGACTTCCGTTAAAACCTTGCCACTATCAGCAGACAAGGACTCCCGACTGTATCCGCTGGAGTTTATACGTAGGTGACAAAGGGTGTCAGAGATTGTTGCAAGCTAAAATTTTGAAATAGCATCACCAGCACCAGCTAAGCTAAGGGTAATAGGGTACAAATTCAAAAAAGAATCTTTGGTCAAAAACATTGACACTGAGAATTTTATCATACTCAGTTAAATTTCGACTCTGAATTCGCTAAAGTATTCAGTTGTATGAATTATCTTGGCGCGTTACCGCCAGGGGCGTTGTAATTTTTCTTAAAATATTTTGCGACAGCGTTTTATATCGTTTCATAACTTATGTACACTTGTGTATCTAACTAATTAGCCTGTTCTCAGACCTCAAGACTGGACTGGACAGATATTTACGCTAACGAAGAGGTAATCGCCGAAACTACTACCATAAAAATTATATCGAAAATTTTTATGACCGCTATAATCGTTGTATCGCTCTTTTCAGCCCACCTATCATCTTAACGTGAAATAGAAGTGTTAACAGGAGGCGATTAGAGAAAGAAAGCCATGGATATTTTGAAAAATCTGTAGTAGGCTTTTAAAGTGAAGGTGTTCTAATCAACGGTACTAAAGGAAGCTAGGATATTAGGATAACAAGAAAAAAATTATAAAATTTATATGACAAATCTAAACTCTATATTCTACTATTGTAATGATTGGAAATTAAACGGCCTTATTATTATTATTATAAAGTGAAACTCGTCAACAAAATTGTCAGTTAACGTCTTCTGCAAATTTATATGATTATTAGCAAATGTAAGTACAGTCACTTCAACAATACTTCTTAATCACGATACAAATTTTATAGAACTTATGATCAACACGTATCAATGAAAAGCAACAAGACGAAGAACATAAATTACGTCAACCATCAACAAATGAAATTTATCCTCATACTTCCATTTAAGAAGACAAATCTCCAAATCCCTAAATATAACTCACGTCACGACGGGATCCGCTCACTGTTACTTGAATTTGTGACTGTACCATACATTACAAAGTTTGTCCTATTCACGGGGAAATCGGCTGCTAGATAATCTAGACATACTGCTAGAATATTATTCGCGACTTGATTACGTTGAGTCTCCAGTTTTGATAATTTAAACTCGGTGATATTTATTAGTTGATTACAAAATATCAATTTAAATTTTTTTATTGAAGCAGGTAGAAAATAATAAACGGCACAAATATAAGAGTCTTTCCTCCAACTTCGATTTTGTTCCCTTTGGAGTAGAGACACTTGGGCCGTGGGGTTCAACTGCACAGGCGCTTATTAAAGATTTAAGTTGGCGCCTAGTAGATAGTACCGGTGACTTCAGAGCTGGCACTTTCCTGGCTCAACGAATAAGTATAGCAATACAACGAGGAAATGCTGCCAGCGTTAAAGGTACACTGCCACAGGGACCAAACTTTTTAAATTTGTTTTGATTTTGTTTTTAATAATTTTTATTATTTCTTTGTAGGTTAAGAAAATTGTTAATACTGTATACTTGATTGTAAACACTATGGTTAAAACATTTCTAGAACTATGATTAATTTAAAAAAGTAATTACATAGTGAATTTAAATGGGCAGGGCATGAAGCAAGACTGTCAGAAGAGTGATGCACCATATTCATCTGAAAGGAGGAGCTTGTAGTTTATTGTTTATCAGAATGCCAAATCTAAAATGACTTTAATGATTTGAGCGATCGAAAACTGTGAGTTCGAAAAGTGAGTTACAGAATAGGTTAAGACATCTACGCACCAAAAGAATAAAAAAAATAAACAACAATCACTCATTGGATAGTACTAGGTAGGAATCCGTGTATATTTTTATATAACATTGAAATATAATAATAATCTATCTAATAATAGGAGATAAAAAGGTTAACAAGTAAAAAAAAAATAAAAGAACTTTTAAATGTTAACCAATAGTCTATAATATATAAACTCGCCGATTCTCATAAAATTTTGTGTGCATATTGGGTATGTCTGAGAATAGGACAACATCTATTTTTCATCCCCCTAAATGTTAAGGGTAGTCCACCCCTTAATTATTTTGTTTTAATTTTTAGATATTTTATTTTTTTTGATACAGCTTTAAAAATACGTACAACCCCTAATTTTCACCCCTCTACGATCAACCCCTATTTTTTATTATAAATGATATACATGGCAAAACGTTTGCCCGGTCAGCTAGTATGTTATAAAGTCTCAAACGTAAAGACAAATTTGAGTTTCATTGAGGCACCACGTAGCCGTGCCTTTGTTTTGAGTGCTGTCAATGTCTTGGACTAGAGATGCAGCTGACAAATCATAATCTATTTATTTATTAAAGTACACCACATCATATACATATAATGCGTTTTCTACGGTATATGTTAAGCTATCTAAAATACATGACAATTATGGTAAACATAAATTGTAATGAAATGCGCCGTCGTTTTGTTTTTCGTTATATATTCTCAGCCTCCAGTATTCTATAACTTACGTATTACATTTTTGGGTCTACATGCCACTCGTGCGCATATTATGGAACTAAATATCCATTGTTAGAGAACGTCTCTATTACCTTAGTCACCTCAAAACACTAAATTCTCACCGCTCCACATAATCATTGAGGATTTTTATGGTCGTCCTTCAGCTAACGCAAATTATACTAAATATATAGGCAAAGATGGAATACATAACACAAACAAAAATGTTAAAACATTTGCGAAATAAAAATTAAATACATTTAACTAAGTAATATCTAATTCGGCTGTGTGTGTGAGGGTATGTATGTTAGAGTGTGTAATAATACTAATTCAAACCCAATTACCGAATTTCATTACAAAACAATATTTACGCCTTTCACGTTTTACTCGAATTTATGAGAGAACCATAAACAGCAACACATTTATATAGCAATACATATAACTATTTATTATAGTACATGACTTACCAGATACCTCGCCCGTATATAGATGCGATGTGTCCACGTCATGCAGCTCCCCTTGGGAACCGTGAACCTGCAAGTGTAAATGTATATTATATGTAGAGCATATAAGGGGTAAATTTTCTTTAATTACAGTTTATATTTTAGGCCATTTAGGGCGCGTGCCAGCGTTTACAGATTTCATAGGAAATATGATAACAAATATCTATGCGGGGACTGTGATAAAAAAAATACACAAATCCGTCAGTTATATAGAAAATGAAATAGGTACACAATTATATTAACTATAATTTCATTTGTTCTATGTTTATAACAAGTTTACATAGAAAGCACTCAAAGCTTGCTCATTAGTGGATCTTCTACTTTCACGTTAAATCCTTATTTTCTCATGAACATTTATAAAACATAAGAATTTCCTAGTTATGATAATAACGCACCAATTGTACAAGCCACTGTAGCCTTGTATGTTTAAATTAATAACGAAATCTTTATATATCCTTTTATGAATTCATTCGATCGTTTTATAATTATTTAATTAGATTTTATTTCCGTACATCGCCGGACTATTTCAACTTTCTAATATATTTAATAACATAATATAATAACCTCTATTATATTATATTATCAGTACAGTAATCCATCTACAACGCGGTAGACCCGGATGGCGTTATAGGGAATCTCGTAAAACCGTTTTTTTTAAACAATTAAAAAACTAGGAACACGAATTTAATAAAGTTATTTAGTTTAATTTTATAACAACTCAATTGAAACACGCAAAGGAAAAAAAAAAAAAAAAAAAAAAAAAAAAAAAAAAAAAAAAAACACTAAAGGAACGTTAAAGCAAGACATTTTCAAGAAACCAAGGGACTACATCAGTATCAACTTTAAGTAATTTTGAGCCCCCACAGACTACTTATCAACTGCCCTCTGTCCCGTACACATACCTTAAAATCATCACTAAAGGCTGACAGATCGCGTCGCAGCCGCAAATTGAACCGCCGCCCATGCGCATCGAAGTTAATTCGCAGATCTGGCGGGTCGACGGAGCGGCGCGCGCGCAGGTGCTGGAGATGCACCTCATCATGATTGTAGTGCACCTCCTCGTAGTTTTCCACGTACTCACTGAGGCGCCGAGATGCTGTAACAAAAGACAATACAGTTAAAAGATATTTATTACATATATTATGTTATTTTCCATTGTCTGTAGAAGTCTTTACATAGTCTCACCCTACTTGCTGTACTCGAAACTTCAACTTACATAAATAATGTTATACTTCTTTTGGCGCGTTAGGGAAAAATGATGAGAGTAAATTTTTACGACATGCGCGCACACCGTCACAAAAAACCGACACCCTGAAGTTAGCTATAGTCAACATTTTAGTTTTTTCTACTAACGTAGATTAAAAATTTTAAAAAGATTTTTATCTTGTTACGCCAAAGAAGTATAACTTCTAACGCGTGTACATAAGTACCTACACACGTTTTTTTTTACCACTGACGAATTGCTATCTAGTAATTCTAGTTACCCGAAACACAAGGACTCCCTAATGTGGGGACTAGCGATATATGAATTTTTGTCACAACCCTTTTGTCATAAAGGTTTTTATTTTTTTATTTATTATATATATGTCAAGACAATGTTCAGGCTATTACCGCTAGGGCGAGTGTTGGTGGCGCTGATTTTAGTGGGTATACAGATCGCAGAGTCCCACAAAACCCTTCGCCCCAAACAGTCTCCTATTAAAGTTATCATGTATTACTGAAATTCGGTTTAAAACAAGCTTTCTATAACTACGAGCCACAAAAACTAGTAATAAAAGGAGTATTAGATGTAGTGCTGGTAAAAAACTTGGGACATTTTGTTTCATTATCTAGAGAGTTTAGTTCAAAAGTCGCTTTGTCTCTATCAGAAGTTACTTTTATTGTTGTCCACTATTGTTGAACTTGATGTATATGTGATAGTTAAGCTACTATTTTTGTTCTGTAGCTATCATCAGGGTATCAAGTATCACGTCACGCAATTTTTGGAGATTATTGACACCTTATAGCCGGCGTCCTCCCATGTAACGCGTGCCGTGACTGGTTACTTGAATTCGTGTATCCGAGTATAATACTCGTCGTTTGTGTTTGGGTTTTGTTCCCTCGGAAACGATGCTCGATTTGACCACCTTCTGCAGTGACAAGTCTTTATACCTTAAAAGTTACTATTATATAAGATGGTGAAAAGTACTAGAACAGTCGTAAAATATTATGTAACAAAAACACGTAGAAGCGGAGATTCAAACCCCGCCCTTCGCATCCGTACACGTCTTGATTTGGCACCTAAATAAGTTAGACCCCTCAAATTCTATTCTTTTGACGATCATAAGTGTACATTGGAAAAAATTTTTTTATTGACTTTTTCAAGCGAATCAATGCCTTTATTGCATATAATTTGTTTTTTTTCCATAAGTGATGTGAAGCAATCATTTAAATATAGCACTACTTGGAATAATAAAAAATAGATAACGACAAGACATGTGACGACTACAGCGCGTATGCTGTGCACATGTTACTGTATCATTAAACAACGAACTATCATTAAAATTCATCATCAATGTCTATTCAATTTCAATTTCAAAACATCCATCTATATGTACATATGACATAAAAATGTTATATTGGTTTGTGTACGCTTCAAAAACTGAAATATTTAGCATGATATATAATAAACCGCATCAAGACTTATTTCTAGCTATTTTTTATTTTCTTTTTATTTCCACAAGTATTGCAAAATTAAACTTATATGAAATGTTTTCTTTGTTTTGTTTCTCATTTCTCAACCATTTCATCACAATGTGCAACAGCGAAGCGTGGCAGAGAACAGCTAGTATATTATAATACTTTCAAAAACCAACGTTTGTAAAGCAGTAACAGTTGGAAACCACCTGCCGATCCAGGTATTTCATTACCATTAGGACTTAGGGGCCTCCTTCAGAGACAAGCGTATCACTACCTTGAACACTGGCTTCCTATTAGTAACCCTTCGTTTGCCTCCTGTTCCATAAAAAATCTTAAATATCCGTCCACGTGGCTAAGTGGTGGTTATTGAGTTGAACCGCGATGAAACAACAATCAGAGAACTGATTGATAAGAGCAGTGTGGTAATAGATATTGCGTGTAATGTCAGCGATATCAACTCAACTATATTCATATATTTCGTACTGATGACGCTTCTATAAAACATATATGTGTTGTATTTTTACACATGGGGGCCGTTCAAGTATTATGTAAGCACTATAGGTGGGGGGGGGATTTCGATTTTATTATTTGGTGATTACGGCAACAGTAATTGTTTACTTTTTTACACATATTACCCACACATTGTCTATGCGTGAAAACGAAATGCATTTTCGAGGATTCGTACAAAAAATTAATAAGTAAGTACTATTATTTTTGAGAGTTTTGCTTACTCTTGCTAACAAGAGGAAGGGAGGGGGAATAAATTGCAGTAAATCTGCTTACGTGATACTTGAACGACCCCATGGGCAAGACACTCATACTACCAGAAGGCTTTACTTACTGTCCTTTTAGGTACGCTCTTCTATTGGATCTTGGTCCAATTTGTTCTAAAATACTTCAATTGGCAGCTGGTTTCATACCTATGGTGATATTGCAGCAATAAATGCATTAAAAACGCTTAGTTGTGGAACGTAGTGTTATTGAAAGAGGATCGTTACAGAACTTCACTATAATAAACATTTCATTAGAAGACTGATATTATCATAGATATAAAATATTATGCTTGTGTATAACGTAACCATAGAAACGTATATTAAACGAGTGAAAACAACATTCCTTGGGCATTGTTAATATGTATTTATAATAATTATAGTTATATTATTGAAAAACATACAATTTTAATAGATATAAACACTTGAATTGATTTGGACGAGTTATGTAAATATATAGTTTTATTTATTTATATATATATATATATATATTATATACGTCAAGCAAGCCAGTTTCCGACCGTAGACCTCCCACTTACTAAGGTCCTTACCTCTCTTACTTCCATCATAATATTTACTTACAACCTCATCGGTTATGTAAATTTATACGGAGAGGTTATGATTGTAACGAATAAACTATACATAGACCATATGCATGTCCAAAATAATTTATTAAATATCCATCCGTGCGAAGCTAAAAGAGTAAAGTAATAATTTTTTTATACATATATAAAAGGGGGCAATCGGGGAAGAGGCTCATCTGGTTAAGCCCATGGACACTCACATTGCAAGTGCGTTATCGGCTTTTGAAGAATTGGTACCCTCTTTTCTTAAAGGACAATAAGTCGAATTGGTTCGGAAATACATCAGTGGGCAGCTGGTTCCACTTAGTAGTGGTGCGCGGCGATAACTGCCTTATATAACGCTCAGTTGTGGAAAAACGTTCCCGTTTATATCCGTTAAAATTATTTAATTTAAAGATTTCTTTTTTGCTACTTTTACGGTATCGGAAATCTTTTTCCGTTACAGTTAGCGAAGTTTTCCTAGAAATCGAAAATAATTGATTTATATCGATCAGGAAGTATAAAAATGTATAACAAAAACCGCAGTAACATTTAGTTCTTACAACCAGTTTTTAATATCTGATAGGATGTGGCAACAGCCTAGGTCATTGACTTAATTTTGGAACAGCTTTTTTTGTATTCATCTGTACATTGATACGATATTTTAATACGATTTATGGCAAATCGTTAAAGAAATTTTCATAAAATTTGGTGTAAAGCTTTCTCAACTGTTCAAAATATTAAAGAACATAACATACACAACGTTAATTTTGTATAGTACAAAGTTATTTTAATTATATTAGATATTCTCTCTTAGAATAACAGCATAAAAATGAGCTGTAACTTCAGCTGTGGTACAATTACTATCATACATCTCAAATTATATAAAAATAAAATTTAAAAACTAGTAGCGCTATAACCCATGGACTGCACCTTAGATTATGTATATGTCACCGTTAAATTGTAAACACCGTTAGATTGTAATCTATCTCGCGAGATTGTAAACTGTCGAAAGATTGTGAACCTCAACGAACTGCTTACAATTTAACGTATTATTATTCGGTAGATTGTAATCTATCGAAGTAAAACCGTCAAATTGTGAAACGGATCGCACCTCGCGCGCTGATTGGTTGAACGGAATATGCCCCGCGACACACGTAATGAAATTTTCTTTCATTTCATTTCCAACACTAACTTAGTTATCATTCAAACTTCTTTGGTCAATCACAGATTAATTTTACTTCCCAACAATTTCATATAACTAATTCTAAAGCTGTGAGTTACTTTCAACACGACATCAATTTACATTCATCAAAACAATCAAGTTACATTCGACAACAAACGAATTAACAAACAAATATGATGGCGCGGGGCATATTCCGTTCAACCAATCAGCGCGCGAGTTGCGATCCGTTTCACAATTTGACGGTTTCACTTCGATAGATTACAATCTACCGAATAATAATACGTTAAATTGTAAGCAGTACGCTGAGGTTCACAATCTTTCGACAGTTTATAATCTCGCGAGATAGATTACAATCTAACGGTGTTTACAATTTTACGTTAACATATATATTTCGTGATCATTTGTTTTTTTCTATTAGGCAAGTAGGTGTTCACCCTTCTGTTACTGACACACGCCGTCGACTTTGGACTAAGGCCGGTTTCCTCACAGTGTTTTCCTTAACTGTACAAACGAATGTTAATTGCGCATACACAGAAAAGTTCATTGGTGCACAGCCGGGTTTCTTACGACCTCAGGGATGAGAGTAGCTCGCTTTAACTGAACCAACACTACTCTACAAAAAGAAATCATCTATATATAGTAAAAACTAAGAAAACTAAATCGTACTACTTTCGTACTTTTAAAAACTCCAAGAGATAGATATTCCTCTACCACATTAGAGAGCACTGCTGGTTAGTGGTTCAACGTGAGACTCTCATCCCTGAGGTCGTAGGTTCGATACCCCGCTGTGCACCAATGGACTTTCATTCTATGTGCACATTTAACATTAGCTCGAACGGTGAAGGAAAACATCGTTAGGAGGCTTGCCTTAGACCCGAAAAGACAACTGCGTGTGTCAGGCACAAGACAAATAATCATGAAACTAGGAGGCCCAGACCTAAAAAGTTTGTAGCGCCACTGATTTATTTACATTAGAAATCTGATAAGTAATTACTTAGAACCTGTATGAAATAGCAGTAAACATAGATGTGAAATGTTGATGCCCCGGATAATCTATGAGACAGCTGTAGCTGAATGCAATCTGAGAGCGAGGCAGCGTGAAACGTGCTGGATTTATGCAGCTCTAGAATTGATTCCCCCGCGACAGAATGCTAATAAAATATGTGCATGTCTCTTGTGGAATATCTGCCACGACATTATGGGGACAATATTTTATGTACTCTGTATTTTTTCGTGTTTTCCTTTCTTAAAGATATAAGACGCGTATGTATGTTTGTTGTTTATTTACATGGCTACTTCTAACTTACCTACCTATAACAATTCATTCAATTTCGTGGGGTGTCGAATGGGCTGCCGGACTTTGAGTCCGACTTAGCGAACCAGCACACATTTGTCGTGTCAAAGCCGGTGACTTCTGCCCAGCTCAAAGTTTGATCTTTCACTTCGCATTCATATTTTCTAAACCATTCAACGGTAAATGTTCTATTATTTGTCTAATTGTTTTATGTAATTT